TTTATGATTTCTTGTTTGGGAGGGTGTGCTACAGTAGGCTTCCATATGAAGGTAAGGTCCACATGCCCATTTTCAATATGCATTCAGGGGTGGACCTATGTGTAAGGGATATGGTGTTGCCCACCCGCAAGCTTTAGCCGAGACTATATAATAGTATGTATGCATACATGTAGGGGTGTCAATGGATATTTGAAAACCGACTAAACCGACCGAACCGTACCTCATCGACCGATTTTTAGGTTTCTTTCAACGAAATCGTAGGTTTTTATATAAATCTATAACAGTACCGATAATTAGGGTAGATTTTTTATTTTATAAAAATAAACCGAAAAAACACCGAACCGTACCGAGTAAATTTTATATGTGAAAAATATATTTATATAGTAAGTTTAAAACTAATAAAGCATTAAATTTTTCATTGGGTCTTGGAATTATGAAAACTGTTACAAGCCAACAAGTAATTAAACTCAAAATACTAATGCCTAAAATCTATTATGCTACTTATACTTAAACTAAGTTATTTCAAGTATCTTTATTAGCAAGACACAAAGTGTTCTAGCGATTATGAGTAGCAAACTACATTGTATCGAATGTGTTTCCTTTCATACAATTTAAATTTATCTTTTTGAATATTTAACATAAACTTTATTCTTGAGTCATGGCTTGGTTAAACTTTATGTCACGACCCGGATTTCCCACCATCGGGATCGTGATGGCGCCTACTCGTGGTAGCTAGGCAAGCCAACTTACCTTTCATTAATAAATAAATCTGTTAACAATCCATAGCATCAATAAGAAACATGGAATTTAATAATAATAATAGCGGAAGTCTAATTTATAAGTCTGAATCAAAACGCGGAATAGTCAACAATAGCCTCTACCCAAGATTTGGTGTCACATTACTCACGAACCACTAAGAATAAACTAAATACAAAGGTCTGAAAGAAATATAACAGCTGTCTATCTCGAAAACAATGAGGCAACAGTCAAAAGGAAAACATAAAGAAGAGACGCCGGGCCTGCGGACGCCTGCAAGGCTACCTCAGTCTCGTGAATAGGAAAGTCTGCTCCCGAACTACTGCTGCTGCTGCTCCTCAAAACCTGAACCTGTGCAAAAATGCACAGAAGTGTAGCATCAGCACAACCGACCCCATGTGCTGGTAAGTGTCTAGCCTAACCCCGGCGAAGTAGTGACGAGGCTAGACTGGACATCACATAAACCTGTGCAGATATAACTATACAGCGGGAATCGAATACCAAGTAATTTATAACATGGGAGGGGAGACATGCTAAGGGGAGATACAATATTAATAGCAATCCAGAGTAACAACTAAAACAGCTTAGGTTCACAATGAACAAAGAATCAATACTCCAGTACAAACACATAGCCTCAATAATTGTTGCGGCGTGCAACCCGCTCCATAATTACTATTGTTGCGGCGTGCAACCCGCTCCACAAATACCACTGTTGCGGCGTGCAACCCGACCCATATCATTTATCATGTATAATTGTTGCGGCGCGCAACCCGATCCACACCTTTTACTGTTGCGGCGTGCAACCCGATCCCCAGTATCACTTAACAGTCCGACTCCCCAAACAACAGTCACAATTAAGGGGCATAAAAATAAGTAAATATTCGACAAACATCCCGGCAAGGGAATAACCAACAACGCTTTCTCTTTCTTACTTTTCTTATCTTAGAGTTCACTCTACTATTTTGAGCCAACACTCCAAAGAAACAAGTCATTTCGTATAATTTCAATATTCGTATCACAATTCGAGCCTATGCTCCCAGGAATCAAATGATCATATTACCGTTCACATATTATTCAAAACATATAGAAATCCTCCAATAAACACAGAGTTCACAACCAAGTCATGATAATCACGTTATAAGGACTCACGGTCATGCTAGATACCAATGTATAGATACTCGTCACCATGCCTATACATCGTACTCGATCACATAGCAATTAGCAACAAGACTCAACTCTTATTCCCTCAAGCTAGGGTTAAACGAAACACTTACCTCAAAGCCTTGAAATCTACTTAATTCTCAACTATTGCTTTACCTCGCGGTTCCACCTCCAATTCGCTCGAATCTAATCACATTTGCTCAATTACTTTAATAAGCATTATNAAAGTGATGAAAATTCGACTAAGTATAAAATTTGCTGGGCCTCGGATATGGGAATTGCGAGCCTTGGTTCGCATTTGCGAACAAGACAGAGCTGGGAGTTGCGATCCTTGGTTCGCATTTGCGAACACTGGGCCTACAGGCGGGGTTTCGCATTTGCGAAAGAGGCATCGCATTTGCGAACCTCCAACCCCCCCCCCCCCCCGCATTTGCGACAGTGCCCCACTTTCTCCAGACTTCGCAATTGCGAAGCAGTGCTCGCATTTGCGAGCTCGCAATTGCGAGTCTACCCTTCATATTTGGAAAATTGCAGAAGCCAGCATACCAGATTTTTAAAACATGAGAAATGCAATCCGATGCCTATCCAAAACTCACCCGAGCCCTCAGGGCTCCTAACAAAACACGCATACAACCTCAAAAACATCCTACGGACTTGCTCGTGCGATCAAATCGCCAAAATAACATCAAAATCATTGAATCAAGCCTCAAAACACATGATTCTTCTTCTAAACTTCATAACCTTTCAAGCTTTGAACTCATAGTCCGAAACACGTCAAACGACGTCCGATTTCGACCAAACTTTACAAAAAGCGCTTAACACATATTTAAGAATTGTACCGGGCGTCGGAACCAAAATACGAGCCCGATACCATAGTCTTTTAATCAATTTTCATTTCCATATTCCTTAATAATTTCAGAAAAACAATTTCACGGAAAAATTCATATCTCGGGCTCTAGACCTCGAAATTCGATTCCGGGCACATGCCCGAGTCCCATATTTTTCTACGGACCTTCCGGGACCGTCCAATCTCGGGTCCGGGTCCGTTTACCAAAAATGTTGACCAAAGTCAACTATAATCATATTAATATCAAAATTCTTCAAATTTTTCACGGAATTCACATATTTCAACATAAAAGTTTCCCGGCTACGGGCTCGGACTGCGCACGTAAATCGAGGCAAGTAAAAAAAATGAGGTTTTAAGGCCTCGAAAGCACGGAATGGATGAGGAAATAGGTGATGACCCTTTGGGTCGTCACACTTTAATACAATGTGATTTATATTTTCTTTGATTTTACTTGGTTTCTTTTACGTTGCTGTCAAATAGTTGATGGATCTATACTCTAGCCATCTTTCATGTTTTTTTAATTCATCATCCTTTAAACAGTAAAAATGTCTAGAGAGTTTTGCTAAGTCCTATAGAAGAACATATGTTATTGCATTCTACTTTTACTGGTGAATTTTACATGATATTTAAAAAAAGACCGAAAATTAACCGAACCGTACTGATATCAAAGTGAAACCGACATGATTGGGACGGTTTCGAAAAATTTAATTTTGGTTATACATAATAGAATAACCGAAAAATTGGTATGGTAAAATTTTTATAAAATAACCGTCCGAACCGAACCATTAACACCCTTACATACACGTATATATAGAAAGAATGTATACAAATTATTTAAGTGGCACCCTCAGTAACAAAAAATCTTAATGGGTTTGTTTGGTGCATTTAAGACAACTGCAATTACAGGAGGATCGTTTGTTTCTTCTTTCTCTCTCCTTAATTCCTCTTTTTTGTTTATTAATAGTTCTTATTGACTTTTCCGTTTTGAAATTTCTTTTCTCCTTTTTTTTTTTTCCTTTAAGCATTTAACAGAAGATATAAAAAAATTCTTTCACAAATCTATTCAAAGAAAACCCATTATTGCACTTTCTTAACTCCTCCATGATTTATCAATACATAATAAAAATTAATTATTTTTTCTGGACCACAACTCTGGTAATCTATTTGTAGAAATCAAAATAATAATTAAAAAAAATCCTTAGAATAAGTTATTGTTCTAATCAATGATGAAAGTTTATTTTGTTGTCAAATTGCTCTAAAGTAGGACAATTTTATATAATATCGAGTAAGTTAATTTTCATAAAAATATAAATTAAAAAATATCTGTAAACTTTGTTGTGTTTTAATATTTAGAGTGCTTATTAGTATATGTTTTTGCCTTAAGTATCTAAATATAAAGTGATAACGAACCTTTTTTCTTGTACAAAATGCATAATCCAGTTGAATTTTTATGCTTTTTTCTAAGTTATCATAATTATTACGTAATATTTTTGCTCGACCTATTTGTTTATATTAACTCCAAAGATGAATAACCCGATCCGAAACTCAAATAGACCAAACCGATTAAGTTTATACACTTTTAGACAATGTAAATTGTAACATGATTACGTTCAAAATTAGTGCCACTCGGAGCCTCTATATCCTGGATCCGCCTCTGTATGTATTTATTATTTCCTTCTGGTGAATTTAGATTGCATCGCCTTCCCAAGTATGTTGCTTCGAATACTGATTTGGAAAACCTTAAAGCTCGGGATTTTTCCGAGCGGAAATGGCCAATATATTCGGCTAAAGGCATCGAGGAATGGAAGAATCTAGCACTAGCTTTAGCATACGCATCCATTCTTCTATTTTTATTTTTTGGACAAGTAATTGTGAAGAATTTATTGATGTGCATGAGCTCTTCTATTAATGAGGGCGATTACTTTGCCATCGGTTTATCTCAATTTTAGTATGACAAAAACTATATGGGCTCTGTTGCCAAGATAAGCGGTCAGCCTCAGCCCCAGAAAAATCGCATGTGTTGCAACCTTTACTACTCTCATTTACCATGAACAGCATTCTTAGTGTTGAACATGTGTTGCTGTTGTTCCTTAATCCCCTTACCGACACTAATCTCCATACGGTTAATGGTCCTTTTGCGAAGGAGGAGAACATGGTTTGCTTTTCACAGATAAGAACTTGAGTAGAAAACAAGTTAGCATGCAGCAAGCTTACGTTTACTTCAGACGCGGCGACCTGAGAGACTTGAATGATTTGATATCACTAAATATGATGGTATTTTTGAGATTGATATTTTGCACTAAGAAATGAGCATCAAATAGGGAGCTTACACTTGGACCATGGAAGTATGGAATCTCATACACTTGATGATGTTCGAACTGGCTTGTGCGCACCTAGACTAGTCCACCACCCAATTGAAAGCTTGCAACAAGCCAACAACCCACAAGTACAGTTGTCTGGGTGGCTTAACTTACCCACCAAGGATGGAGCAAATCGGCTCACATGGAGTATTGTAGCTATACGGAGTTCATTATAAAGGAGTTGGATTCACGACTGAGATTTCTGATGTTGCTGAACCCAGTTGTCATAATCTTGAAGCAGTTGTTGCAAAAGCAACGGTACTAGCCTGTCCACTAAAGCCTGCATCATTCTGTGTGAAACATAGTTCGTGATAAGGATTGAGATGAAATTCAAAAGTTACAGAAATATGTATTTTAGAATTCTTAAAGATGTATAATGAGTATAAAAATTGTGAGGGTCATTTCTATTTTTACGATAGAAATATCATTTCATTTTGAAACTATTAGATTGTCTGCAGAACTTTGTTTTCAACATGATAAAGATTGTTCAACTGATGTCCGTAGTGACAAGTCCCATAAAAAGAATCATCAAGACATTTAATATCAAGTTTAAGCTATGTTGTATAAAGCCCTTTTACAAGGAATCTATCCAATGGAAATGGCTGTTCCACGAGGTCGATACCAAGAAAAGTTTATTGCCGAGAATTTGTCACCCTTACAGCAAGTAACAGCTCTATGAAGACGTCTATGTTCATTTATATGCTGAAATGATCAAGAAAAAGTGTCTCTGCTAACAAGTCATGATCACCTTAACTTCTGGAGTGAAGGAATTATCGATAGAACTTGGCAAATGGAAACATGCAGATGTATTTAGGTTCAAATGAGATGAACCAAGCTTGGTGCAAAAGGTTTCATGTCTAAATCAGAGCAAAGACCTTGTATGACACTCCGATTATTTACTTTACTTTAATATGGTCCTTACTCTTAAGAAAAATCCAGGTACAGGAAAGCACACATGTCAATGAACAGAGTTTGGTTGATATCTAATTTACATTACAATTTTTGTTTCTAAAACTATTTGTGATCACAGAGAGTAATGAAAAGTTAGCAATAGACTCACAAGTTACCGGGACTCTCAACAGCAGAAGTAGGCAGCATGGTAAATGGCATGGTATATATCTGCAAATACAATATAAGGTGACAAATTCCATTGAGAGGATCATAATATACAAGAAAGTTTTCTTGTCAATATGATAATTGTACTGGAATGTTGTAGAGATTCAAAGGAAATATATCTCTGATTAACAATAAGTTTCACTAAAAGATTCTACTCATTCAAACACATTTAGACCTCGGTTTTCTTGAGAGGGACAACAGTCTGGAGATTATTGATAGATTTCAGATCCCATCAAATCAGGTTATATCCCACATATAATGTCAGAGACGGAGCCATGATTTCAACCTAATGGGTTCTAGATTTTAGTACACGACTTCAAGTGTTAATGACGGGGTTCTAAATTTAATATTTGTACATATTTGATGAATTTTAAACACCAAATAGATTGTTTGAGCAAAAGCTACTGAGTTCAGCCGTACCCATAGTTCGGCTTGTCCCTCCAACCCTGTATAATGTGCTATCAATCTAACATTCTTGATAATAAGGCTTCTACTTTCTGACTGTTTTATGGATGGCATGCTAAAAGTACTTTTTCACAACTGTTCCAAAGGCGTAAATAAGCAATGAGAACTGAAAGGCAGCTATGATTTTAAGAAGCAGCAACATTTATTTTTCCTGGTTAGTATAGGAAAAGGTTTTATATTGTACGTCGGGTATTAGGACAAGGAAGTGGTTCTCTTTATCCCTTGCTGCATGTATGTAAACATGCACGAGCATATTCATGCTGTCTACCTTCAACCTTGTACTCCTTTAACTTAAGTTGCTCGGATATGGGTGCGGGTGTCTGACACGTGTGTGGGATACAGATCTCAGTACGGAGATGGGTGCGGGGATCCGGCTAAAAATAATTCAAAAAAATATAACAACAACATACCCAGTATTATACCACACCGTGGGGTCTGGGGAGGGTAGTGTATACGCAGACCTTACCCCTACCTTGGAGGATAGAGAGGTTCCCAGAAAATGAAAAAAATAAAAAAATCTCTTAATTATGAGAAATTTTGTGTACTACTTACATATAGCTTGTAAACTGTGGATTTCTTTTTTAATCTCAAGTTGTAGATAAGTAAAAGATTGATTTCCTAGATAAGGTCATGCTACCCTAGTTTTGGTTCTGATTTAGGGAATCAAATTGTATCTCATTTCAATTTTTTTCGTCCATCGTGGTCAAAATACCCAAAATTATTTGACCAGACCCGGTACGGATCCCATACCCATATCTATACTAGTGTCGTATCGACAAGGGTGCAGCACCTAAACTGTCATGTCGGGGTAACTTAGCCTTTAACCCCTCATTTGTTCCCGATGGTGGATGTAGCACTCGGACACCGAGTTCATCTGAACCCACTACTTTCAACGCAGAACATAAATTTATGTATAAACTCCACTAAAATTGCAATAAATAGTAGGTCTAAACCCATAATATTAAGGTTAAACCCATTGAACTTAAATCCTAAATTTGGCTCTTCCCGTTCCCCATATAACCTCCATCTGTAATCATATTATTTGCAAGCGATGCTGTCAAAACTAAGAATGAAGAATAACACTTGCAACATTCAGATTCAGACTGTCCTGGAGAAATTCTAAGAAGAAAAATCAGTACTGCTAGAGTGATAATGTTAAATAGGGTAGCCTTTTCTTTCTGAGAAATTTTCCGACATCTATCATAGGAAATTTGGCATGAGAATAAGCATAAAACATTCTGAGGGAAGAGAGAGAGAATAACCTCAAGAGAGATATTTAATTTCACATCAATATTTAGGAAAGGCTGAGATCCAACTGTTTCCCACGTTATACGGTTTACCATTGATGCTGCAAGTTAAAAAAATTGCATGTGTAAACATGTAATTATAAATTCTAAGTATGTTACAAAAGCCCATTTTCGTTCAATTTAATAACAATGTCATGCTCTAATCTTGTTTTGATATACCTGAAAAGTGGTCATTCTGCTGCTCTACCAAATCAGAACCCTCAAACTGCAATGAACATTAGGCACTTATATATCAACTTCGTGAACGATAACTAATTTAAGAAACGTAGAATCTCAGCAGATGATGGTTGTACATATTAGCGACTAATCTTAAGCTATCAGATTTTATTTTTTCCTTTAGTGAATTACGTGTATTCGAAAGGAAGGTCGATGAATATATATGCAAGATTCATTTACAAAGAAGAATTATTAAGTTAAACGTGGGAGAAGCTAATGTCCAGAAGAAAACTGTTCTCTTGCTTGTTCAATCATCGGGAAATTAAACCTTAACTACACTCTTTTATCTCCTCCTCTCTATATCACTCCAGATAAAATTCTTCTTAGATGGTACTAACTAGATTAAAAGCAAGCTGCAACTGCGAATATTTTACCCCCCATAGCAATTATATTAACTGGTGATCACACACCATAATATCATTTTCAGACAACTAAACATCTCCATGCGTTTAGCTAGCTCATGAAACATTTCAAGTGTGATTGAAACTTTGGAAGATTCTCGGTCTCAAAGAAAGAGGCATTGAACAGCACATCACAGATACTGCTTCCTTAGGTTGGCGATGTTTCCAGAATCAGGGATATTATACTTGAAGTAGAATCAATCTATGCTTATTACCTACGCAGTCTTTGGGAGCCTTACCTTGCAAGACAACATCTCCACAGTGCAGTCTTCGCTGGTTGGGTTCACTTGTAAAATCAAAACAGGGGCAACTCCAAAATTCAGAAGTTGAACTTGTGGCAGAGTACACCTGCAAGTAACAAAATCAGCAAAATCTTATAACTCTTATTTGGGATGTATAGGCTGGCAAGAACAAGATGAACTATTTTCACTGCCAAATAGTGAGTATCTGGTATCAATACATGAACATTTCTGATTATCCGTCACAAACTGAAAAGGCGCCAAAGTAGTTGAAACTCTCAGTGGCTGCAAACCATTTTTCACAATGTGATTATTTGACGGTTCTACTGAACGGTTCTATCCAAATCTCCTTATCTATGTTGAATTTCGCTCTTCCTTTTGCCTTGCCATATCTTTTATGGATACCTCAAGAAACACAGGAAATATGCCAAACGTTAACCTTATGTGAGGTACGTGAAAGTTTCTCATGCAGGATAGTTCTTGAGGATTTCATATCTTCTCAATTTACACACTTCTATTTCAGGTATAGACTGATAATTACCTAGTGGAATTGAAATCTACTCCCCCAAATAGTTAGAGAACCTAATTAAGCATATCATCTCCTCCATTTGGTTAAGTATGTTAAATAATGGGAAGTAATATCTGCAGACTAAAAGGAGAGAAGAGAATTATTAAATTTACCCCAAGTTGTTTGATATCTCCATTCGGGAAGGAAAGAAAGGGTTACTCAAGTGATAGAACCCTTCTCTTCCAACAAAGAGCTTGGGAGTTTGAGTCACAAGGGGAAAATAAGAAAAAACATGATAGGGCCTTGGGGAGGTGGGTTTAAAGGCTGGAGTTTACCAAATTTTTAGAAAGTATCGCTATTAAGAATATTAATCATCACATAACATCTATCTTATGTTGATAAACTCTAATCATCTATCCAACAACAGCACCAGGTCTCTATATTCTGCTCACTATCGGAGTAAGAAGTTAGGCCACTTAGAATGTCCATTGTTGATTAGTCGTTGTTGGAATTCTTTGGTCATCCTCTATGCTTTAGGGGTAGAATGCTCGTTTAGATGCAGTTATACATTAGCCGTCAAAAGAATTCATCAGAAGATCTTGCTTGGTTGTCACTGGAGTTTTGGTTGTGTAAGCTGCTGGTTCTGCACATTTCATTGCCTGTTGCTCAATTCACATTCAGTTGGCTCTTGAAAACATCCGTTGCGACTTGGTTAGTGTTATTGGACGATCATAAGAATTGTCTTTCAATTCATTTAGCCGCAGTTTTAAGTTATATCATCTTTCCTAGCGGGATAACAGCCCAACTGGCAGTTCTTTCTTAAGTTACAAACAGTAAAGGTAAGTCTTGGTTTAAGGTGGTCGCCTTGTGGTGAGGACCAGTTAGCTAATTAGCTTTTAATTACCAAAAATGATTAGGTTATAAGCTTATTTTGATATCACAGGCACAGGGGCTAAATTACTTTCTTCGTTTGAAGGACCGCATGTTAACAGGGTGGGGGCAGTTATACCAAACGATTATTTGTTTGCAAAACTAGCATAGACCAAAAGAATCTGTAGCTAGCATATTATTAAGATTTCCGAAACAGAAAAGCAAAATAAACCAAGTGTCACGCCATTTCATACAACTCATATTTCAGGACCTGTCCGTGCAAAAGGTGGGTCCTTAAGTCATTTAGAATGCAGCATAGAGCCTAATGCCATCTCTTTTATGGTTCACATACCAGTAGAAGTATGAGAGTATTCATAAAACTGTATGAAATGGTTAACTTTTTCAGTACTCTAATACCTGTTTAGAGGCTTAATAGTTCGATCAAATCCATCTCTTTGCACAGTGGCGTTTGTTCAGCAAAACTTCTTTTCTATGTAATGATGACATGCTTGACTGAATGGTATTCAATCTTTTTGCCAATACATAAACAGATAACTCGAAAACTACTTGATATCTAGTCACAACATTAAAAAATTGTTCAAGGTGGTTAAAATGCGATAGTTTCACACAGCAAGAAGAAAAGATAGAAGACCAAGATGGAATGTCCTTGGACCAAGACACTTGACAAGACGAAACAAATCATTACCTGTACATGTTAGAATCAATAGATTCAAAGCTTTGCAAAGCTCTTTTGTTCAACATTGCTTCAACACCAGATTTATGGCTCAGAAATTCACTTATATGAAATGATTTATTATCTCCACCAATACCGTCATGTTTGGGAAGCTTAATTCTTTCTTTCTTCCTAGCAGAAAGGTTTGCTCTCTTGGCATCTGAGTCTGATAAATTAGACTTGATCACTTCGACGACTCCAATTCTCTTCCTGAAACAAATACCAGCATTATATTAGCAATAGCATGAAGAGAACAGAAGAAGAAAAAAATCGAACGCTTACTATTCCATAACATGAATTTGAACATTAGGAGTGTGGTTAGAAGGAAACAGAGTTGAAGGGAAGTAGAAGGAGACCAGTGATAGCTATTTACTATTTCAATAGAAGAATTAACCTAAATAGCCACCCACCCAACTGCTTAAACTAACAATAGCCGGTGGATGTATAATATATATATGTATAATCCATGTATAATATGTGTATAACAGTGTATAATCTATGTAAACCGGTTAAGAAAAGTAAACAGTGAATCAGCCGGTTATTTGTGTAAAGATATCTTTTAAATACTTAGTATTTTGTAGTACTTGTTTAGATACACAACTATTCCCTTGCTGTTTTTCCTGCCTTTACTTTTCTATTCTTTATCATTGTAAAACATTTATAAAGCATAAGGCTCACAGCAAGTAATGAAATTAAATCAAACATTAGACATATTTACTTCTAGAAACATGAAATTTCTAGTTAAATGGAAACAAGTTGGTGAAAATCATCTTGATTCTACTATGACTGAATTAAAACAATATCAATAAACTTTCCAAGGTCAAGACATGGAACAAAAATGGAACTAACCCATCCCTCCCCCATGCAGGGGCGGAGCCACAGTGTTGGTTGTGGGTTCAGCCGAACCAGTACCTTTCTTTCAAACAAACCTTATATTTGTATTAAGAAATTCAATAAATGTGTACAGATTATTAATTTAGAATCTAGTAACTTAAAAGAAATCCCAAACTCATAAGGTTTAAATCTTAGCTCTGCCTCTGCACCACCTCCGCTCTGACCCAACAAGAGCAATAATATCATAATTTTACAAAGTAGAACTCCAAAAAAATATAACAATTGGGGTAGAAGAAGAGTAAATTCACCTGGAAAAGGAGCATTGTTGGAGGGGAAATGAGTAATTAGACCCAGCAGTTTGAATGACCCTCATAACTAACTACTTCTTCCCGAGCAGTAATTAGCCTTTAAGCTTCAAAGTACAAGTTTAATGCCATGGTAAGTTTTATAGTTGCAGCCAAAGAGAAGAGGAATTATATTGAAGGAATTGTTGTGATGTTTTACCCGGGAAAGTGGGCGCTGTGCACATTAGCTCTTCCTCTCTTGTTTGGCAGTTAGGCTCATCACCATATATATGATATATCCATCCATTCACGTGGACTACCTCAACAATCAGCACGACCTGCCTTTTCCTAAAATAGCGATTTCAGTCCACCAATTATTAATTTATTACCCCCTTCCAAAATAATTGGATTTTTTACTTAAAATAGTCGCCCTAAATCTATATTAATTTCAAATATACTATAATAATATAGTTTTATACATAAATAATATATAAATGTGTTAATGCCCTAAATATGTTACATCTCATGTTTTCGTACGTTAGAGCATGTCGTAAGCCAATTGATGTAAGCTCGGAAATAAGATCATTTTTGAAAATACATAACCTAATTTCATCATGTTATCTTGGAGGTTACAAATCTTTAAGATCATGAATAACAAATACCAAAAGGGTTGGAAAGCTTAGACGCTAAACGAATTGAAGAAAATAAGTTTCGTCGAAAGTCGACAAGTTTGGAATGTTATAAATATACTTTTGGGGTGAGACTATGGTGATTAATATGATGAGGAGGCTAAGCTATGAGTTATTTTAGTCGTATGATAGTCGTGTGTTATGTGTTTAAGTCAAGCGAGTTGTGAAAGAAAAAGTTGGCAAAAGTCATCACAAGTTGCATTCATAATGTGCTGAAATTTAGGTCAAATGTAGCTGCACTTTTCTCCCAATATACTTCGAATCAAGGGATGATCTACATATCAAATTGAAGATCTATGAGTCTAGTTTCTAACGAATTAAACCGTTTGTCAATAAGATTTCGGAGTATAGAGATATTCGTATTTTTGCGAGACTGCGCAGATTGGTAAGTGACATGTAGGTGCATCACCTACTTGCCAAATTAAAAGCCCTAAAGTCGGCCAAGAGGGGACTTATAAGGGATTATCAGCTCATTTATTTCACCCATCTTTCAGACCTTGAAAACTAAATTGAACCCCTGCAACTCCTCCCCAAAAATCCCACACAAACACTAGGTTATTTCGGATGTTACGACGTGATTCTAGTGCCGAAAAGTCCGGACATCTTGCTAGTTTCTCTTTCTCCTTCTTGTAGCCGCATTGAGGAACTGATTTTTGATGAAGAAGGACCAGTTTTCATGGGTTATACTCAGTACAAGGTAAGGTTATGCTTCTCCTTCCATTATCTATGCGTTTGCGAGTTGTAACTCGATCGTAAAGAATAGACCTAGCGAGTTTCGAAAGAATGGTATGTTGTTTGTTCTTGTGTCATGGTTGGCTGGTTGTGAACTTATTTTTAAGTTGAATTCATGGCTGGTTTATTGGATAAGAGGTATAATTATGTACTTTTGGTTGTGTTTCTCAATTTGAAAGAAAAGACAAGTCGAAATGTATTTAAGTAAACTGAAAAATTAATTTTGAGTTGCTGAACTTGTGGAACTGTTTTGTGGGCTGTTTCATATTGCTATTGGGTTTTCTCTTTTGCTACTATTTTTATGGAGTTGAGAGGAGGAAGGGTGTGGAGAAACACCATATAATGGCAGGGTTGTTCGCTGGTCGTTCGTCGTAACATTTTCGAATTGTTTGACACTATTATGGTTGTCGTGTTGTGTATGAAGTGAGTATGTTGGGCTGTTTGTGATTGTTTTCACTTGTGTGAAGTCATACATATAGGGGAGGTGCTGTTCGTTTCATCGTAAAATAGGTTGTGATCGTTACATAATAGTTACGACGCTTAAACGATAACGATAGTGTCATTTCTCTTATTGTAGACTAATGAGTACTGTCATTTGCATAGCTTGAGGTTAGGAAGTACATATACAAGGTATGTGAGGCTATCCCTTTCTATATTTTGCATGACTTCGATTGTACATAATGCAATGAACGAGCTTCCAAAGGTACTCTACTCTTAGAAGCTAGCAGTACTTACATTGTTTCCCTTCTTATGGAACAATTTGATGTTGAGGTTGCTTCTCTTATCCTTATGTTATCAATGTTGTTGGTACTTCCTAATTCTTATAAGATTCTTGATGAAAAGTTATTCCTAATAAGGTGTACAGAGAATATCGACCTTATGTCACTCCGAAAGGTTCAGAATATGATTTCAATAAGTCCTACATGCATTATATATATGTATCTATTTTACTCTATCGAGTTGCGCTATAGTCGGCCAGGTACGGCACCTATTGTGCAACCACCGATCAGTTGGGATTATCGAGCTCCACGTGGCTGAGTACGATTCTACCGAGCCTTATGATGGCCGGGTACGTTCTTAGCGAGTCCTCTTTGAGGCTGGGTACGATATGATGATGATGATGCCCATAGAGGCGTATGCTTTTTAAAAGTATATGTGTATATATATGTATTATGCATTTCATGTCAGTAGCCCCCAGAGGCACTCAGATGTTACAGGTTGTATCTTCTCTATCTCTCTTTACATTACTGTTCTTGTTTATGTTTTCCTGCCTTACATACTCGGTACGTTATTCGTACTGACGTCCTTTTGCCTGGGGACGCTGCATTTCATGCCCGCAGGTCTCGATTGATAGGTTGACAGTCCTCCTAGTAGGCTATCAGCTCAGCGGAAGGTGTTGGTGCACTCCACTTGCTCCGGAGTTGCCTATTTGGTCAGTATGCTTTGGATATGTATTGATTGGTATGGCGGGGCCATGTCCCGACCTTTATGATATTATGTACTCTTAGAGGCTTGTAGACAGATGTCAGGTGTATGGATACTTGCATGGCCTTGTCGGCTTATGTTTTGAGTTTACAAATGGTCATGTTTGCCTTATTGGCCTGTATGTCACATGTATAAGTTCGCATATCATGTTGGATCGTCATATGTTGAGTATTCCCTTATGTTTCATTCTTGCTATCTCATGACGAGTTTTCTGGCTCATTTACCCATGATAGTATGATAAGAAAGATATGTTATGTTGGTAATCGGTTGAGTAAGGCACCGGGTGCCCGTCGCGGCCCCTTCGGTTTAGGTCGTGACAAAATAATATGCCCAAAAGACGTATAAGTCTATAAAACCAAGAAGATACTAAGGAATCGTTTGATTTGCAAACAAGTTATACCGACATAACAATATAGGAATTGTAATATAATGATAAAATAATAAAAGAATTTGTTAATGAATGTAATTTTATTCGTAAATATTTTTTCTGAGCCGATGGTCTATTGAAAATAGCATCCTACCTTTACTTGGTAGGGGTAACATCCGCATACACACTATCCTCCCCAGATCCACTTATGTGAATATACTGAGTTTGTTGTTGTTATAATTTTTATTCGTAGATGTTTGATTCACACTAAAATATAATATAATATAAGAGGTATAATGTAAAACAGATAAAAACTTACCCGTAAATTAAATAAGAGTATAAGTTTGTATACGGTCAAAATCGGGCTTGACCTGGAACGAAGCAGGCCAAGGATCGACCCTATGTCATATCGGATCACGGCCCAAAGTTAGACTGCAGAGCTCGAGACACAGAGATCGATCGAGATCGAGGTTGGCTAAGATTGGGGTCAGGCAGGATAGAGATCGAACAAGATCGGGGAAATCTTACCGAGCCAAATAACAAAAAATCGAAATATCCGCAATCGGGCGAGGGTCACGGCTGAAATCTCGGCACGTATGAAGAAAAGGCCGATTAATTAGCCAATCTTGGGATTTCTTACTCTATTTAGGATTGTACCAAATGTAGGATTCCCCTACTATATAAAGGGGGTCTGATCATTTGTAATACGTATCACATCCACGCATAACAAAGCAATACATTACATTTTCTCTCTTAAGCTCTGTTGTTCAGGTCATACTTTTCGATAGCATACTTAGTTGGTTCGAGGATGATCTAGCTCGAGGGCCATAGCCACTCATTATATTGGTTTGCTTTACTTTTACAGTTAATTTCTAACATTAATTCTCATATTTTTCAGTTTGTGCCAAGTGAAATCACATATCCTTAAAACCACTTACAAATTTAATTGTTATCCAATTTTAAGGGTAAGTAGTTTGGCACCCACCGTGGGGCTAAGGATAATAGTGATTGCCTGGTACAATTTTCGTAACACATACTATTTTACGCTTGTTCTTTGAAGTATTTTGATTCCAGGCTCAACATGTCAAACTCTCTAGCAGCACCCGCACACACAGACAATGGCCTTGGCGTCCATGGCGGGAACGATAACATAGACGCCCCAGGAAATGGAGTACCTTCGGTCATCCCCGATGGAGCCGGTCGTGGACGCAATCAACGCCAGTTTCCATATTGCCATTAATTAAAATTTGGTCATTGATCCTGAAAATAGCGTCCACAGGGACGTTCGACCAGCTGATCCGAATGCACAGGGCGGTGAAGAAGGCGGGATCAGCCTTCGGGTGATATTCGAAATGTGCAGACCCAACAAGCTATAATAGCACAACTCCAAAATCAGAATCGTGCACCAAGTAGAATCGAGCTCGAGCCATCACAAGAAATTTTTCATAGGGCAGAATCGGTGCCAAAGAGATCGAATGGAGGAGAATCGGAGACCAATCCTACTATCATAAAGATGCTCGAAGAACTGATAAAGCGAATCAAGACAGGGGAAAAAGAAGATTGAGGAAAACGATAAGAATGTGGAAACGTATAACTCCATAGTTGACCAAATCCTAGGGGCACCACCGATATTGAAAGTACTAGATTTAAAAAAGTTTGTAGAAAAACCATTTCCCCCGAGTACAGCTCCGAAGCCAATCCCTAAGAAGTTTCGTATGCCCGAGATTCCGAAGTATAATGGGACGACAGATCCAAACGAACACATCACCTCATATACATGCGCCATCAAGGGAAATGCCTTGGAAGATGACAAGATTGAATTCGTATTGCTGAAGAAATTCAGTGAGACTCTATGGAAGGGTGGTATGATATGGTATCATAATTTACCACCTAATTCTATTGAGTCATTTGCTATGCTCGCAGATTATTTCGTAAAGGCACACCGGAGTCGCTACAAGAAAGTCGGACCTTTTCAAGGTAAGGCAGAAAGACAACGAAATGGTCAAGGAATTCGTATCTCGATTCCAAGTGGAACAAATGTATTTG